GATTGCTTTAATCAAAGCAAATATTTGCCCTCATATCTTGTTTGCTTTCCAAATCAAAGATAATTGTTATCGATTTATTACTTCGACATTGAGAACTCTAACTTTTGCATATTGCCTCCTTTTTTGAAAATTAACGAAGCTCACGCTTTATACATAATACATATATAATAAAGATCTGCCGGTTGTACATATTATGTACAAAAATTCAATATAACTATTGTGAAACGAACAAATATAATATTTAATATTCGAATATTAAATATCAAATGTTTGTACAGTTGTACGTTTTTTTTAACTTAAAACTTCTTTCAACTTGTTTTGTACTTTTTTGTGGAAAGTGAATTAGATTGATCCGTCAGATTTCCTAAGTGTCAACGCTCGGGTAAAGTCGACTTGAGTCGACTAATTGAATTGTTTTTACACAAGGATTAAAATATCTCAGAAACTAAAAATCGGACCTGCATACTTTAAGCGAGGGAAATGTTCGACATTTCATCCTCTTTATAATGAGCTATTATTTATAATTTATGTTTCATATTTATACAGCTGACATTCCGAACCGTCCAAACATCGTTATTACAACCTATGCCGATGATACATATATCCTATCAGTTCATAAAGACACAACAATTGCATCCCAAATTCGTCAATCATACATCACAAACCTTGAAGAATGGTGTCAAAACTGGAGAATTAAAATAAATTCCAATAAATCCCATCAAATTACCTTTACCCTTCGTCGTAAACCAATGACTTTCTGTCCTACATTATCCTTTAATGATACTCCACTTATCCCTGTTGAGCAAATCCGATGCCTAGGACTCCACCTGGAACACGACTAACTTGGAATCCTCATACCAGACTGAAACGACAAGAAACCCCTCGACGTTTCCGACTACTTCAGCACTTACTAGACAAACGCTCTAAACTTCCAATTAATTACAAGAGACTCATATACATGACCATAATAACACCTATTTGGACTTACGGAGTTGAGCTTTGGGGCTCCACTTAAACATTGAATTGCTACCGTATCCCATCTTTACAATCCAAAATCCTTCGTAAAATCCTTAATGCTCCTTACTTTGTAACAAATAAAATAGTCCTTAATGACCCGAATGTATGTTTCCGATTTGGTCCAATCCAGATACCTATCCTTCCATAATAAACTTCAGACGCATCCTAATCCTCACGTTTCTAACCTTGCTTCCTCCTCTATCCCTGATAACCTTCCCAGGCGTCTGAAAAGGAGATGGCCTCGTCATCTCCTAATTTAGATACTATATTAGAATGCTAACAATTGGTAGATCCTCTACAAGCCTTGTCATGTCATATATTTCTTTGTATCACATTTGCTGAATGTATATTAATTTGTACAGTTGTAAATTTCATTAATAATAATAAATAAAAAAATAAATAAAATCATATTATTACTCTCGCCTTGTTGATGGTACCTTAGTTTTTATTTTATTTATTTATTGTGTATATGGATATACTTGAAAATATATAAACTAACCATTTGGGTATATTACAATTTGTATACATTTAATATGAGAGGAAGGGTGACTGCCTTCAATAACATAGGTACATTTTTAGAACTTTTTAAGCTAAAAATGAATAATGTTAAAAACTGAAAAATACTTTTGATTTCTTAGTTTGTACAACCTCTAAATAACAATAAAACTTTTTCACACCCTGACTTTGTTAAAATTTCTATTAAAACATTCTCTATAAAATTTATTTATACTTGTACTTACTAAATAAATTTTCCCAACTTTATTCCGAAAATTTTTAAATGAAATATGAATGAATAAAAGGATATGTTTCAATATTATTATTCCTGAATATGAATGAAAATTTAAATAGGAATATTTACTACGTGATAAAGCAGTTACGTACCTACTTATATGTCTCAGCTTGTCTTCTTAATCGATTTTAGTTTCCATATTTTATTCATTCATGTAGCTTATTTGTTATCAATTTTTTTTTTTTTACTTCAGATTATTGTGGAGGAATGAGGGGGGGGGCATGAAACGATATTCTTGTCTTCTCAATATTTTCTTGTGGGAAACGATCGCCCCCCTCGGTCCTCTCCCTCTCCCCATGGTCTGCGTCTATAATTACAAAAGTAGTGATGGTCTGACAGGTGAAAGTTTTGTAGTGGTGCAGTTCTTTTTTCCTCACTGAAGAGATTTTTTGTTTCCGAACCCAAATAAAATATTGAAAAGTAATGTTGAGTAACATCCAGTTTTTAACAATTAACATATTCGAATTAATAGTAATAGTAACAATTAACATATTCGAATTAAAAAAACAGAGCATTTATGGATGCTGGTATGTAAAGTGGTTCCTCTAACTCCACTTGAACGTACTGGCAAAAATGAATAATTTTGTGAAACTCAATGAAATAACTCATTTTAGTCTATCTGATTGCAAAGTCATCAACTCTAGCTCTTCTCTAGCTGCGGTGTTCTGGAGACTGCTGAGCACATCATAGTCGACTGTACCACCTTTGAAGAACTAAGGGCTAAGTTACTGAGGAAAACCGATCTCTACATTAATCAACTTATCAGAGCTTTATAAATCACTGTAATGGTCGAAATTCTTTTAAATAATAATTACGTATTGCAATGTTCTAGAGAAACGTTTTTTAAAAAAATAATAATTAAACATATTAGTATAGGAAACAATTGCTTAGTCAGATCTTGAAAAGTGAAGTGGTATCTGATCTATTAAATTCTCTAATTTTCTAATATCATTCAGTTATCTGCTCCTATTATATTAAAAATAATCTTTCTATAAGAAGTTTGTCCTTATTTTAGTAAAATATTTGTTAAGCTTTCTATTTATCACGTGGATAGAATGTTATCAGTTAATTCCTCTTGCAACAGATTCCAAATTATAAAATATCGATTAATCGGCTCAATCCTTCCCTTTATTTTACTATATATTATTTTATAATATTAATATTTATTTGTTAACCTTATTCAGTTCAACACAGTAGTAAAGTTTACTATCTGAATGTCATTAGAATAAAAAACTTGAATACTCTAAACATTATTAACATTCTATCATAAAAATTTCTCGTAATAAGAATGCTACCCTTATTAATAGTGTAATATACTAATATTAATATGTATTTTTCATATTTTTCGATGTATGTCTGTAAAGTTAAAAATTGTAATTATTTTAACATAATTATTTTTATACTGATACATTGGCTAATAGTCAGAATAAATTAATCAAATAAGTCTTTGGTTGCAATTTATTGATCGTTTCGGAGAATGTTCGTCCACCTCTTCTTCAATATTTTATTTCCCCATTGAAATTGGGTAAGTCACAATAATTTAATATCCTAAGGTTGGTTCAATGGTTAATATATTAATATACAGTTGACAGTATTTAACAAGATTGCATGATTGGTTCAAACTTTGGAAAATTCGACACAGCACATCACATTTACGCTTCGACATGAAACATACCCTCCAGATTACACAGATTCCACAGACAGACTCCGTTCACTACCTTGGTCTGACATTTGACCGAAAAATGACGTGGGCCCACATATAACAAAGAAAAGAAAAACGCTATATCAAAGACCTAAAATTCTGAACTCACTTCTTTCGAAACATTCAAAACTTAGACAGAAATTGAATACATACAATTACTTACTAAAACCTATTTGGATTAGATACAGAGATATTCGGAACAGCTAAAAAGACTCACATAAACAAAATTCAAATCTTTCAAGCAAATACATTCAGGACAATCACAAAAGCACCTTGGTACGTTAGCAACATAACCTTACATACTGAACTCCATGTGCCGATTGTTAACGCACACATATGAACTCATTACAAACGATTCCACGACAATTTACAAGGAGATCCTAACACACTTATAAATGACATGGCCACTACGAATATGCCAGGTAACGTCTGTAGAAGACTGAAGAGGAGCTGGATGAGGGACCTCCTCGCCTAATGTAGATATCACGCCAGGAGGAGGTGCCGCTGTAGCGCTCTTATTCATCCTTCGCTGGTTTTAAATACCAGTGAAGTGGCTGAGGTAGAAGTGCAGGGATCTCCTAAAACTCGCTTTTCCCTCCACATGTTTCCCTGGCTGATTGCAAATAGTGTATTCAGGTATCTTTGTATCTAAGATGTTTATGATACTTTTATTTTTATTTTAACTTACGTGTGTATATATATTTTTATTTGTTTCACTCCCCTTATAATATTTTATTTTGTTCTTATTTCTATGTATTCTTTTGTTATTACTTTATTTATTTATGTTTCTGTATAAACAGTATGAATGTACTCTCTGAACTGTAATATAAGTATCCTTAACTAAGACAGATTGTAATATTCCTCAATAAAAATAAATACATAAATAAAAATATAGGTCTAAAACTGAGGCCGAAATGTCAGCATGGAACAAAATAACATTTTATTTATGTTTCTCACTGATTACAACCCCTAATTTATCAACTATTTTATGTTTACAATTTGGCATTTGCTAAAACGGCGGAATACTAAGAATGTGGAGAAAATATGAAAATATAAAACACTTATTTATAAAAATGTCACGATTTTTTTCGGTTTGACAAATCAGAAAAAATATATTAACTTTTTGCATCCCGTTATCCTTATATTATATGTATATATATATATATATATATTTTGTTGTCCCCTCCTTCCTTGCCTTTTAGACAATGGAGGGGAGATGGGGGAGAATTAACGCCAGAGTTGAAAGCCTCTCCGGCACCGGGACTTGTAATTATGTTATCATATTAGTATCTGTTTATTTGGTTGCCGGGCAACGCCGTTGCTATGCACATACATCAGCATGCTCGCCCCAGTATCCGGACTGTTAACTTTCCCCTCTCGCTTTGTTAGTTAAGAACGTAAAGTAGAGCTAACCATTAACCACTCGGACAGACACTAACCCCCCATCTCGGGGAAGGCAGGAGGCCCTCCACCATTAGTACACAAGTCTAAATGACGAGAGAGCTGGAGATCCATTGTGGAGGAATTGGTGCCAATTGGTGGATGCGGGCGATGCGGGCGTTGGATGGATGGGATTTGTTGGCGCCTCCGAGGCTTCTCATTGGCTACCTCAATGGCTTTGTAATGTGCTCTTTATTGGCGGCGCACGGCCGAGCTGCTCCGGTAATTGCCTATTGTTCGCGATCTTTTAGTGCCTTCAGCGTCGTCAGTATCGAGAGCTAACGAGAAAACCGGTCCCAGCAATGAATTATATAAAGCAAACTTTTTTTTATGTCTATACGTTTATGTAAACGGGTGATGAATAACCGTTTAATAACCAAAGTTGATCATTCTACATCACCAATATTTTTGAAGCGAAAACTTCTTCGGATGTGAAACACTCATTCGGGTAAAGTCGGTTCAAGTCGGCTAATTGAAGTGTTCATGCATATGGATTAAGATAACTCAGAAATTAAAAATCGGACTAGCATAAATACTGTAAGCAAGGGAAATGAAATGAAAAATAATTTTATTCTGGGACTGAAGTCCCCTTAGAATAATAGTAGAGTTTAAAAAAATATGTACATTAGTCTGGCATATAAGTATCATACAAATATATACAAAAAATACTTATAAGCACAATTATAAGCACACACACATATATATATATATATATATATATATATATATATATATATATATATATAATACACACAAAGATAATAAGGATAATACAAATATATAAAAAAATATAAAATATACCAAGGAAAATATAAAACATACTAACGATAAACACAGATATATACAATAAAATACTGAGATATAAAAAAAATAATAAATAAAAATAAAATGACTTCTATCAATTAACTGCTGGTTGCCAACGTAATTATGTAACCCAGAAATTTTTACAAGCTTGAGGAAGTTTGAATTTGTAGTAGGTGGTGGAATAGGAGTTGTTTGAAGGAGTTTATGGACGTGGTTTGACGTATGGAGATGGGTAAGGAGTTCCATAAGGAGGTAGCACGAATGACGAAGGATATACTGAAGGAAGTGGTTTTATGGGAGGGGGATATAAATCTATAGGTTGAGATCTGGTATTGAGAGAGTGGATAGAGGAACGTAAAGTGAGGAGTTCTAAGATGTGGGGGGGGGGGGAGGGAGGATTTTTGTTCTGAGAACTTGAAAAGGAAAAACACCAAGTAGGAATTGCTGCCGGGAACTAGAATATGTTCAGTATTTCATCCTCTTTCTAATGAGCTATTATTCAAAATTTTATCTTAAAGTAACGCGGTGTTAGAGACGCGTAAAGGAAAAAATAGTGTCGAAAACCATCCGATAACGAGATTGATTGACGATTAAAATATCATATAAACTAAAAATCGATCCTGCATACTTTAAGCGAGAGAATTGTTCAGCATTTCATCTTCTTTGTAATGAGCCACTAATCAAAATTTTGATGTGACGCCGACGTAAAGAGTCGAAAAGAAAAAAACGATAGCGCCAATAAATCAAACAATAACGATATTTGTACTAGCATATCTTTAGCATAAAATTTAAATACCACGGAGAATTCAGAATTAGCTACTCTATCACTACTACTGATGTCCTTAATTGTGATTGAGTATAATATTACTTTATAAAGAAATTATAGTTCTATAACTATTCATACTTTTTCAACATGCTCTTTATAATACATACACGATAGAGCTGACCAGTGTGCAGAAGGTTTCAAGTGGCAGGATGTGGCTACTCACTGGGCCAATAGACCGTGGCTCTATCTTTACCATTGACCCCTAAATTAGTGGGACCCCCTCAATCATGGGCCTCGCGATATTTATAGGCCACCAGTCTGTTGTGACTAGTTGTTACAACAATTGTTATTGATAGGGTTGTTAGTGAGCGGGTTCCATTCCCAATGAGCCATGAAATTGTATACCATGTTTGACTCTTTGATAGACTCAAAGGAGTCGTTGAAATTTAACCTACAAATATACCTCAGTGAGAACTCTTATGTTATATAACTGTTCTTCTCACTAAGCGACATCAGTGAAACATGTTCCTACATGCAATACAACATTATCTATATCGTCTATTCAACTCACACAATTGATGAAGATACTCTTCACAATTGCTGAAATGCCAATTCCAGTGCTTGGAAGTCTGAGTTTGCCTGGAAATCCCGCTGAATCTCAGATAGTCAGAGAAAATTCTAGTTTCATTGTAGATGAATCTTTTCAAACGAATGAATCATCGAAATCGCAAGAAGCTCAGAAACGAAGTGATCTACACACCAGCAGGTTACCTAGAACTTAACAAGAATTCGTGAATCAAACCAGATCCATATGAAGTTGATTACGTTGATAACAAAATTTCATTGAGTACTCCCAAACAGGATTTAGGCACATCATACTCGCCTTCCAGTCAAATATTTTACAAATTTTCATTTGAAGTATCGTTCATCTGCATTTTGGAAACTGACTTTGTTTCTGCCATGATTTAATCATTATTAACAAAGTTATGGGTGTTAATAAAATAAATTTGATTACTTTTACTCAACTAATACCTGTTTTTCAAAATAAGTAAAAAGCTGTATGTTAGAAGTAAATTCCAGTAAATTATTAAAATGGCTCTAAAAGATTATTTGACAGAAGTATGCTTTAAAAATTTACATAGAGTATTACATCTTTGTCTTAAGAGTGCAAAAAAAAAATTGAACCGAAAATATAATTTTCATACTAGCAAAAATTACGCAGTTTTTTTCATCTCCTGAAAAATTATATATTGTTGTTGTTCTTACACGCTTTTGCACTGTGGTTGTCGATTTTTAATTACATGGTATATATCTGTTTTATTTTACTTATGTTATTTTATATTTAAACTTATTTATTGAAAAATATTACAATCTGTCTCAAAGGACATTTATAATACTGTTCAGAGATCACATTCACACTATGTACAATAAATAAAATAAAATATACAGAAAAAAAATATATATAGATAAATAAGAATAAAATAACCTAAAAATAAATAAACAAAAAGAACACATACATACTGCTACGTTCCTGGCCTCGCGTTTCTACGGCGAGTAGGGGGTTCCAGGAACCGCATTTATTTGTATTTAATACACATATATTTGTATTTATATCGGTTCCAGAAGGGAACCGATCAACTTAAAAATATATTAATTATGTATTGAAAGGTAAGATACCACAGACCCCCTACTGTAGTATCCTAGATTGAACCATATAATTTTTATTGGATTTCTTTTCTAGAGGTATCGTGTTTTTAAACTTACCATTTGTTTCTATTACTAATTGATGGCATGCGGGGTAGATGGTAAAAGTACTGAGATGGTTTACTAACTAATATATTTACAAATTCAAATAACCAAAAACATATATACAATGATATTAGGAGAATCAGACTAGAGGAGAATGCTTGATGTTTGATTAAAGTTACATATATTCTATTGATTCTATTAATTAACGGTTTATGGTTGCCAACACAAGTTTACATCTGTATAACTAAATGATGGTTATTACCTAGCTGGTTTATCATCATCTTCGAGTCTCCTTCCATGTCGCTCTCCTCGGACGGAGGCCTTCCTCCCAGTGTTCAACCGTCCTCGCCTGAGTCCTAGCTATCAGTCCATATCTTGCTCTCTCCGCCTCTCCTGATCAAGTCCTTCCTCAAAACTCTCACCGTCCTAGCTTCCAGTCACCCCCCTCTCTTTTTGTACTTTTTCCTGATTCGCTGAATATTCCTAGCCTAAGGGGTGACCACGCCCTCTCCCCCAGGCCAAGGTATTCCACTAACCAGGTATATTTTACGTATTTCTGGAAGGTGTTAATAGTAATTTGGATCCTGTTTAAACACTCAGGCGTGAGACTGTTGTCGGTCTTGGTCGGTGGTTCTTAAGGGTTTTTATTTCCACTTACAAAAGTTTGTCCTCGTGGGTCGTTACCCTCTCTCAGGTACCGCCAGATGTGAGCACTTATGATATTTATTTATTTATACATTTAAAATAATTAAATGAATTCCACCGGCGGTCTTTACAATACATAGCAATACCTATATACACTATTTACAATCTGACGAGAGAACTCCGGACCAGACTTGTCCCTCCAACTGTGGAGGGAAAAGCATGATTCCAGGAGATCCCTGCACTTCTCTCTCAACCGCGTCACTGGGACTAAACCCAGTGGAGATTGAGCAAGAGTGCAAACTTAAATTATTATCAAAATAAATAAAACTATGCTCAGATTAGGCTATGATTGATTAATTTTTCTTTTTTTTTTCATCTCTCAACCATGAAATTTCCTTAAAAATGGAACTTTTTCTGCAAAGTGCAAATCCAGGATATAACATCTATTACCAATAATTTAATGTCATGATAATAGATTGTAAATGTCGTTATCTAGATGGTCCAACATAGGTTTTATCAGATTAAATGTGCGTTTTTGACTAGATTATACTTCAAAATCTGCCCCCGCAGATTTGACTTCAAATGACCAATCAATGGTCTTGAAATATAGTTAATTATGTACTTATATAATTGATGAAGAAGCTATAATGACCTTACATGGAATATTTTTTTTTTCTTGTCACCAATTGTAAGCTGTTATGCACATCCCTTGCTACAATATCGGATGACGTCCATTGCTTCAGATATGTAACGCTGACCACATAGAGAAAATGAGGTCACAGGGTTCAATGCAGATACAGGAAAAAAAACAGTAATAAATATTCGTCGTTTTCGAATAACGCATTACTCCACATCTTTTAATTCTTTGACCCTTACAATCTAGTGCAGTGATAGCAGAATATAGTCAGTTGTGAATCTAGAATATGTAATTATTGTGTACGTATATGAAGAGGTCAGGGGAAAGCCTGTTAAACACATTTCAATATTATTCAGGAGAGTAAAAAAAAATACTACGTTGGTATTTGATAAAGAAAAAATAATAAATTAAAAAATATATGTATTCTTTTAACCCACATAAGTCAAAATATTTTTAAGCATAATTAAGATACTATCCAAATCTACGAAGCTTTCTTTATCGTCATCGACCTGTAACCTTTCAAGCTGCTTAATTTCAATTTATTATTATCTATTAATAATAATAAGGCTTAGCGAACCCGAAGGTTCGATGCCGACACCACCAATCGCTTGTTACACACCTCCCTCCACCGTTCGCCGTCCAAACCCAGTCCCTTCAGATCGGCTTTAATGCAATCTTCCC